AACAAAATTTAGCGCACTCTCCCTCTAACACAACCAACGGTTCGGGTTTTAACACAAAATTTGGTGCCATTCTTCTAATCTCCTCTTCGGTCGTCTCGATTCTGTTTACATCAATATTAATATATCTGTATTTATAAACAACTCACACAACGATGTTCTACATTAACCACAATTAGGAAATGCTAATTCATATAGTTGCAATTGTTGTAATTAGGAAATGCTGCTATTTTGTATGTTAGGATGATTTCAATATTGCTATTTTCATAATATTAAATATTTTTAACAATATTTAGTGGTATTTCAATTGTCAAATTTGTTTAGTCAAATCCCATAGGATTAGCATTGCCATATACTCAGCATTACCCATGTTAACCCTAAATCATAGACTTAACATTACCCATAGGATTAGCATAGTAATACCCTTACATTAACAATAGTATTAGTATTGCCATAGACACAGCATTATCCATATAATTATCATCGTCATAGACTTAGCATTACCCATGTTAAACCTATGCTATAGACTTAACATTATCTGTGTTTTATGCTTATGTCGTAGACTTAAACTGTAATTCCATAGAAATAACATGTTAAAGCTTCCCATGCTAATCCTATGAGTCTCCACATGTTAAAGTATAGCTATAGGATTAGCATGATATCTCATGTTAAATTCTATAGGGTGGAAAAAGGGGAAGGGGGCATTACGATTCTATAAACCACATTCTTTATAAATGAATTGTGGTCAAAAACACTTTAATATAAGTGTTACTAACAATTGTGTTGAAGACTCCGTTTCTATCATTCGGTTGATCGCTAATGACATCTCTGTCGGCAACTGTGAAGTCGTTATGAGTGAGGGTCTGGCCTTCACTTTCACTGTAGCCCTGATCTCAGTCTCGCCTTTCGGTGATTTCGCGCGACAAATATATTCTCCAGAATCCTATCGCAGAGAAAAACGTTTATATTTTAGTTTATAGTTTAGAAATACAATTAAAAGTCACTAAATCTAAACTCCAAACCTCTGGATATGCGGACAGTATGTCGAGAGAGACAAAACCAAAGTCGTGTATAGCTTTGTGCCGATGGCCGGAGCGCAAGGGCTGCCCGTTATGGAGCCACTCGACGGTCAACTGGCCATCGCTTATGGGCTCGAGTCGGCACTCGAAGTGAATGTTATCGCCTTCTGTCAAGTGATCCAATGATTTCATTTCTGTGACAAATCGTGGCGTTTGTTGCGACACCTCTTCGGATAAGCCCTCCTGAATGAGAGCGTATTCCTGACGCTTCCAGAGCTGTGACGACACTCCGGGAGGCAATTGACTGTCGACTACGATATCCTTTTTGGCTGTAATTAATTTACCGTTAAATCATAAATGAATTTATAATAACAACCGTTAAATACCCTTCACGTTCACCACAGCCTGCGTTGTGTCCGAACCCCAGGCATTAGTGGCCACACATTTATAAACACCGGAATCGCGTGGGAAAAGCCAATCGATTTCCAGTACAACATATCCAAAGTCGTTAATCGTATGAATTCGTGAGCCTATAAACCAAACAAATCAATACATTTATCAATTATAATCATTGATTAGTGACCGTTAAAAAAGTGATAAAAATATTTAAATTGTTGTAATATTTGAAAATTGCGAGACAAGTGTTCGCTAAATACCCAACAATTTAAACACGATATTTAGGATCGGGTTTCGAATGAAATAGACTTTTCTTGTGTTAAACCCATTGATTACTTAAAATGCCTAAAATTATAGACATTTAAAAGAAATTAAATGATATCTTTGTTTTGTATTAGACTTTAATTCTGTATTTGTTATAATTAGTGAATCCAATATAATTATATATAAAAATATTTTTATAATTATATTATTATTTTCTATTACTGTATATTTGTAATATTTGTTACACTAACCAAAGCTTCATTTTTAAATAAATAATTTATTTGTTTTATAACTTATCTTTAATATTAGGGACTATTAGAAACCCGATCCTAAATATCGTGTTTAAATTGTTTGGTATTTAGCGAACACGTGTCTCGCAATTTTCAAATATTACAACAATTTAAATACTTTTATCACTTTTTTAACGGTCACTAATCATTGATTATAATGTTTAAACATGTTAATTACCAGTGCTTAACGGCTGATCATTTAAATACCACTCGACTCTCATAGTAGAGTCATTGATGGGCTCTAACCTACACTCGAAATGTGCGGAATCGCCCTCTAATTTATCCAAATTTTTAATTTTTGTCATGAATTTGGGCACAACTGGTGGTTGGGTCTCATCTCTTGGACATATTCCAGAAACTCGGTAAACACGGAGGTAAAATACGTATGAAAGCTATATAAGAACGCCATTAACTCTGAGGTAATGTTGGCAGAAGACTGAGAACTGACTCTCAGCTGTCCGCTACCTCAGAACGCCAAACATATTGACCGCTTTGCACACATAGAGACCGGAATCGCGTGGATATGTTTCGGCGATTTCCAGCACAACGTATCCAAAGTCGCTGATTGTCCGGAATCGGGATCCAGTGGTCAGCGGTTTGTCGTTCAAAAACCACTCCACTTTCATCGTGGGATCGCTTACCGGCACTAATCGGGACTCGAAGTGAACGAAATCATTCTCATTGATGGCAATGTCTTTGAGTTGGCTCAAGAACTTCGGCGGCTGTTCTTCAATCGTAGTCCAACTGTCGCTCACTTGTCGTTCAACTGTTTCCTCAAATTGTGACAATTTCTGAAAAGTGGTTTCCGAGCCGTCGGGCAATTGGGTCTCGAGAACCACTTTACGACTCGATTGGCATTTTATGTTACACGTCATGACAGCTTCGCCCGTATTATTGGACGCCCGAACTGAGTACAGACCGCTGTCCTCACTGTAAACCGGATTAATTTCCAACACAACAAAACCAAAGTCGGAAATGGTTCGGATCCTATTACTGGCCCGCAATGGCTGTCCATTTTTCAGCCATTCAATGGTCAGATTCGGGTCATCTGTTGGTGTGATTCTGGTCTCGATATGCAAACCATCGCCTTCTTTAAGATTTGCCACATTTTCGAGCGGAGCCTCAAAACGGGGCAATTCGTACACATATTCTTCCATGTATTCAATTGGCTTCACATTCAGCGACTCTTCGTAATCAATCAAATCCTTAATACCTCTGGCCATCGAAACTGGAAGTTGCGATTCGAGAATCACTTTGGGTTTTGCTATAGAAATGAAATAATATATAAATGATTTCATTTATAATAAAAAGAAATATATGACTAACGTTTGCATTTTAAAGAAGTGGTCACTTTGTCTGAACCGAAGCTATTGGTGGCGACGCACTCATAGACACCGCTATCCCTTTCATCGCAGTCCAAGATGTCGAGCACAACAAACCCGAAATCATTGAATGCCCTAAACCTCTGTCCCGACCGAAGCGGCTCTCCATTCATATACCACTCGATAACAACTCATAGACACCGCTATCCCTTTCATCGCAGTCCAAGATGTCGAGCACAACAAACCCGAAATCATTGAATGCCCTAAACCTCTGTCCCGACCGAAGCGGCTCTCCATTCATATACCACTCGATAACCATTTCTGGATCATTGATGGGAACCAATTGGGTCTCGAAGTGAGCGCTCTGTCCTTCAACTAAATTTGGCAACTCTTTGATTGGACTCAAAAACTTTGGCGATTGACTGGTTGTGGGCACTATTTGGCCCATACTCTGGACATTGGCATAGCCTTCGAGTGCGTGTATTTGTCCCATACTTTCGGTAAGGATGGCGTGTTTGTCCACTTTAGGAGTGGGACTGCACTGTATGTTGAATTTGGTTGTGTCGGAGCCGTATTTGTTGGACGCGACGCATACGTATTCGCCCGAGTCTTCTGAGTGGACGTACGATATATCCATCACTACATACCCAAAATCGGTCACCACTTTGATCCGTGAACTGGGGGTCAGTATAACGCTGTTGTGATACCACTCGACGGTAAGGTTGGGGTCGCCCACCGGCTCTAATTGGCACTCGAAGTGAACGCTTTGTCCCTCTTTTAGGCCCTCCACTGATTGCATTTGGGATATAAAGTGTGGTCTCTCTCCGGGAACCGATTCAATGCACTCCAAGTCAATGTTGAGGGCATCGGTTCCGCAATCATTGGCCGCAACACAAGTATAAGTTCCCGAGTCTTCGGTTCTTATATTGAAAATCTCTAGAATTATATATCCGAACGAATGGATTGTATTGATACGATTGCTGGCCTGAAGTGGCTCTCCTTTGAACAGCCACTCGACAGTCATCGACGTGTCGTCCATCGGTGCGAGACTGGCCTCGATGTGCGCCGATTGGCCTTCCGTTAGGTCTGTCATGTGTTTCGATACTAACGTGATTTTTGGCACTTGAATCGCCTCAAAGTCCTCATCCGATTGGCGATCACTTTTCTGGGCAGTCTTATCGTCGGGTTGTAATGCCTTTCCAGAAGTGACACCTTTTGCTATGACATCGATTTGTGTTGAAGTAAACGCTTCTCCCAATTGATTAGTAGCTCTGAAACATATCATTTATAACATTAATTTTATAACTAGGGTTGTTTCAAATTTTGTTTAAAATAGTCTAATTATTTATTTAATTTTGCCAAGTGATTTATTTTAAAATTTAGCCATGAATTTATCAAATATTCTAAAAAGAAACTATTATAAGGCGATTAATCAATGATTTGATGTGCTTTCATTTGAAAATAGTGGACAAATAAATGTTCTATTTAATTTTATATGTTTAAATTGTAGTAAAAATGTTACCTGTAATTATATTGTGACATATTTCAAAAGTGTTTACTATTACTATAACATTAATTCATAAGATTAGCATTACCCATAGATTTAACATTACTTATAGATTTAGCATTGTCCATACTATGGACTCCATAGACTTAACATTGCCCATAGACTCAGCATTACTCATGTTAATCTTGTCATAGACTTAAGCTGTAATCCCATGCTAAATCACATAGAGTGGGGGCCGAATGATTCTATAAACCACATTGTTCAATGCTGAATTGTGGTTAAATGATCAATTTTTAGTAAATATTTTACTAAATGTTAATAATATAATATAATCGAAATTCAATACTAATTTCTCTACATTAACAACTGTAATGTTGAATTTTTTAAAATCTTGAAATATTAATTATTTTTACAATATTAACTTATTAATACAAGGATAAAACATAACGTAAGAATATCACATAATAAAATTATGTCCACTATTTGTCCACTATTTTTTAAGCGTTTCAGAGTAAAAGTCCGCTATTAAAAATTTTTGATTTGGTAACACTACCTATGACACATGAATTGAATTGTGTGACTGACCTGCAGGTGTAAACACCAGTATCTCTGGTCCAGAGGTCGTGAATATCCATCACAATAAACCCAAAATCACTTGTAGTGGCAAATCGTGAGCCACTGGTTAGCGGCTGTCCGTTGACCAGCCATTCAATGCATAGATTGAGATCGTTTGAGGGCTCGACCCGACACTCCAAATGCAATCCTTCGCTTTCATTCACTTTAAAGCTGTGTTTCAATGGTATAACGAAATACGGTTTTGTAAACTCTGGTTTCGCTTCGGCGGGTATGACTCGTTCAACAGTTGTCTCGAGTTGTTTAATACGCTCTAATCCCTGCTGACCCGTCGGGTGCAGAGTTGTCGTGTCTATTAAGCCCTTTCCCACCACTTTGAGTGATGCGGTGGACACCGACTGACCCTTTGGATTGGACGCCCGACACGTATAGACACCCGAGTCTTCGGGATAAACGTATGCGATATCGACGGACACGTATCCAAAGTCATGAGTGACTGAATATCTGCTTCCGGAAGGCATGGGTTCGCCATTCCTTAGTATCTCGTATTTCATGGTCGGATCGGATGAGGGCTCAACTCTGCACTCGAAGTGCGCGGTTTCGCCCTCTTTTAGATTCAAATCATTCAAATGTGAGACAAAATTCGGTAATTCGGTCTCGAATTCGGGAATTTCGGCTTTCGTTGGTCTGAAGGCTTCGAACTCTTGTATTCGTTGCCAACTTTCGGGATGCAGTGAACGGAAGTCCAGATTCTCGGAGCCTATGATTTGAATATAAAATTATTTCATAACTTTTAAGGGATAAGTATTTTTGATAAAACAATACCTTTGACTTTCAAAGTACACGTGGATATGGCTTCACCCGAATCATTGACAGCTCTGTTATCAAATGACAAATAATTACCTCAAAATTAAATTCATTTTAAATGAAAATAATTAATGAAGACAACGATATATGACCTGCACGTATAAATTCCAGAGTCTTCAGCTTTAATATCCATTATTTCGAGTGATATTAAGCCGAAATCAAATCGTGTGGTTATTCTGGAGCCTAAGACCAAGTATTGGCCATTTTTATGCCACTCGACAATCAGTTTATCGTCATTTGAGGGCTCGATCTGAGCCTCAATAAAGACATAATCGCCTTCTTTTATATCCTTTATACTCGAGAGTTGTCTCGTGAAGACCGGTCTCTCGTATATCTCTTCCGTAGTCTCCGTAACTGTTGTGCGGATATCGGTCTCAAACACTTGTGTTTGTCTAAACGCTTCCGGATGTTGACAATGCATGTCAATCGTCGAAAGAGCTGCCATCATATTGAGATCAATTAGCATTTGTTTGCATTTTTCAATCAAACTATCAATGAATACCTTTGACTCTCAATGAAACCGAAGTGATTGCTTCTCCCGATCTGTTGATGGCTTTAATCATATAAACGCCAGAGTCTTCGGGAACAGTGGACGCGATATCGAGGCAAACATAGCCAAAGTCGTGCGAAGTGGCTATTCTCGAGCCCATCAGCAGTTCTTTGCCATTTAAATACCAGATGAAATCCAAGTCAGGATCGCCAACGGGAACGGCCCGGCACTCAAAGCGCGCCGCCTGTCCTTCGATCAGATCGTGCGGTCCGACCAAAGGTGTCGTAAAGATAGGCTTTTCAAACCATTGTTCGGGTTCTTCTCGCGGACCCATATATTTGGATCTCTCGAGCGCTTGAATTTGTTGCAGTCCTTCGGGATGTTGTGAATGGATCTGAACGGCAGCTTTCGCTACAAATATATAGTATTTTTATAACAAGTGTTTTATTCAATACACATTTTGTGGTATAAGTGCTTACAGTTGACTCTCATGGTAGCCGTAGTGACCGCTTCGCCCATAGAGTTGACGGCGTGTGCCGTATAAACGCCCGCGTCTTCCGGTTGTATTTGAAGGATGTCGAGCGCGACGTAACCGAAATCATTCATTGTTATAAATCTCGATCCTTTAGATAATATTGAAATTACATTTTAACGCTTTATATTAACGCTTAATTTACTGATTGCTGTAAATTACACAAATTGCAAATTTCAATTTGGATCTAGAATTTGAGGATTTAATTAATTAAATTTCAACGGGTAAATCTAATCACCCGATTGGCTGACGGCTTAATTTAGTATTGTTGCCCGAGGTAATCAATCATTTTGACTAAAAACTACAGTAAAACCTCAAAACTAGAGCTGATAAACAATAACACAATAATAATTAGAATTAAAATTCATTTTTTGGCCGAAAAATTCTAGAGTGCACAGATTTTAATTGTTTAAACAAGGATTTACACGCGATGCTAGAATTTAACTATTTGTTCACTATTTGTTACTTTTGCTCTATTTTTAATAAAATAACTTTTTATCGAAAATACTTTATAAGAAATCTATGAAATATATTAAAATTATTGACCTGTTTTGAGGGGTGTGTTGTTGTGATACCACTGGACTTCGAGAGTGGGATCTCCGACGGGAATGAGTTTGGCCTCGAAGTGCGCGGCGTCTGCTTCTAACACATTGTCAATATTTCGTAAGGGAGTCGTGAATACAGGCCTTTGAAATGTAAGCACTTCTTCCTGAACTGTATAACGATATTCGGTTTCCAAAGCATGCAATTTAGGCAAAGCCTCCGAATGCATGCTTTCCGTCTGTATTGAACTCTTTCCTACAATTTTGATCATAAATTTAAGATATATTCAGATAAATATAATTTTGATTGAATGTTTGGACAATACCCTCGACAGTGAGGTTAATAGAAGTGATCACTTCTCCCAACAAATTGGAAGCTTTCACTGAATAACTCCCGGAATCTTCGGGATAAACGTATGCGATATCAAGCGATACGTATCCGAAATCACAGAATGTATGATAACGTGAGCCTAAAAATAAATGCACTTTTCATTTAGCATAATGTTTGATACGGTATAACATTTCCACAGCAAACAACTGACCAGAAATCAAAGTCTTTCCGTTGTGTAAGAATTCAATCTCTAGTTGTGGATCATATGAGGGCTCAACTCTGCACTCGAAGTGGGCTCTCTGGCCCTCATGTAGTCGTGTTGTGCCCTTTAATTTGGACAAAAACATTGGTTCAGTCGGAGGTCTCTCTTCCACTTCTTGCAGTCCTCGAGGTGTCTGTCTTTCCAAGTATTGAATCCTCTCGAGTCCGTCCGGATTAATGGTGTCGTAAATAATGGATCGCTTTTCCGTAACACTGATAGTACAGGTGATTACAGCTTCTCCTAAATCATTGGTAGCCCTAACCATATAAGTTCCCGTGTCTTCCGGATATGCGTACAGTATATCGAGGGCTATATAACCGAAATCATTGGTTAGTCTAAATCGATGGCCAGTTTTGAGCGGAGTTTCGTTGAGAAACCACTCGACAGTCATTGACGGGTCATTGATTGGCTCGAGTCGGCACTCGAGATGTGCCGATTGGCCTTCTCTCAGGTTTTCAATATTTTTCAATGGCTTTGTAAACACCGGTCGACACGTTTCCATCTGAGGCGACAGTCGTTGCCTTACGTGCGGTCTTTCGAGAGCTGCGATTTGCTGAAGACTCTCCTCATGGATAGTGTCGGTGTCGATCACCTTTCGCTGCTCAACACGTATGGAACCGGTGGTGACGGCCTCTCCGGCCTCATTCACGGCACGACACATATAAGTGCCCGAGTCTTCGGGATAGGCGTAGAGGACGTCGAGAGCTACGAAACCGAAATCGTGCAGTGATTTGAAACGGTGTCCGGTTTGGAGCGGAACGCCGTTCACTAACCACTCGACTCTCATCGTCGGGTCGTCGGCGGGGGTGAGAGTGGCCTCCAAATGGAAGGGTTCGCCTTCTTTCAGGTTCTCGTAATTGCGTAAAGAGTTTCCAAACTCTGGTTTATCGACGAAAATGGTGTCGTCGTCTTGGCGTTTGACCCGTCGGGGCGTTTCGAGGGCTCGTATTTTGCTGAGACTACTCGGTTGTATTGAGTCCAATAGTACACTACCCCTGTCCACGACTTTGAGCGTCACTTTGGATGTGTTAAAACCCAAATGATTGGTTGCTTTAATCTCATAATCGCCAGAATCTTCGGGTATGAGAGCCATAACGTCAAGCGCAGCGAATCCAAAGTCAAATAGAGTTCGGTATCTGTTGCCGATCTGTAGGGGATGTCCATTGAGAAGCCACTCGACGGTCATTGTCTGGTCTGGGAAGGGCTCGATTCGGCACTCGAAGTGAGCGCTCTTTCCCTCCTCTCCAACGTTAGGGCCTTTGAGTTCTGTCACAAAATAGGGTTTCCTTTCGGATGTCGTTTCTGTGATCTCTTCTTTTCGGTAGAAATTCCTTCCCTCCAGACATGAGATCTTTTGGACGCTATCGGGGAAAGAGGTGTCGCTTACGATGGACTTCGTGTCCTCGACGTGAAGAGTGGCCGAACAGACGNAGTGACCGCTTCGCCCATAGAGTTGACGGCGTGTGCCGTATAAACGCCCGCGTCTTCCGGTTGTATTTGAAGGATGTCGAGCGCGACGTAACCGAAATCATTCATTGTTATAAATCTCGATCCTTTATATAATATTGAAATTACATTTATATACCGTATTAAACAATTTTTGTTCACTATTTATATCTAAATGTTTGTTACTTTTTACTCTAATTTTAATAAATTAACTTTTTATCAAAAATACTTTCTAAGAAATGTATGAAATATATTGAAATGATTGACCTGTTTTGAGGGGTGTGTTGTTGTGATACCACTGGACTTCGAGAGTGGGATCTCCGACGGGAATGAGTTTGGCCTCGAAGTGCGCGGCGTCTGCTTCTAATACATTGTCGATATTTCGTAAGGGAGTCGTGAATACAGGCCTTTGAAATGTGAGCACTTCTTCCTGAACTGTATAACGATATTCTGTTTCCAAAGCATGCAATTTAGGCAAAGCCTCCGAATGCATGCTTTCCGTCTGTATTGAACTCTTCCCTATAATTTTGATCATAAATTTAATATATATTTAGATAAATATATTTTGATTGAATGTTTGGACAATACCCTCGACAGTGAGGTTAATAGAAGTGATCACTTCTCCCAACAAATTGGAAGCTCTCACTGAATAACTTCCGGAATCTTCGGGATAAACGTATGCGATATCAAGCGATACGTATCCGAAATCACTGAATGTATGATAACGTGAGCCTAAAAATAAATGCAGTTTTCGTTTAGCATAATGTTTGATTCGGTATAACATTTCCACAGCAAACAACTGACCAGAAATCAAAGTCTTTCCGTTGTGTAAGAATTCAATCTCTAGTTGTGGATCATATGAGGGCTCAACTCTGCACTCGAAGTGAGCTCTCTGTCCCTCATGTAGTCGTGTTGTGCCCTTTAATTTGGACAAAAACATTGGTTCAGTCGGAGGTCTCTCTTCCACTTCTTGCAGTCCTCGAGGTGTTTGTCTTTCCAAGTATTGAATCCTCTCGAGTCCGTCCGGATTAATGGTGTCGTAAATAATGGATCGCTTCTCCGTAACACTGATGGTACAAGTTATGACAGCCTCTCCTAAATCATTGGTAGCCCTAACCATATAAGTTCCCGTGTCTTCCGGGTATGCGTACAGTATATCGAGGGCTATATAACCGAAATCATTGGTTAGTCTAAATCGATGGCCAGTTTTGAGCGGAGTTCCGTTGAGAAACCACTCGACAGTCATTGACGGGTCATTGATTGGCTCGAGTCGGCACTCGAGATGCGCCGATTGGCCTTCTCTCAGGTTTTCAAGATTTTTCAATGGCTTCGTAAACACCGGTCGACACGTTTCCATCTGAGGCGACAGGCGTTGCCTTACGTGCGGTCTTTCAAGTGCTTGAATTTGCTGAAGACTCTCCTCATGGATAGTGTCGGTGTCGATCACCTTTCGCTGCTCAACAAGTATGGAACCGGTGGTGACGGCCTCTCCGGCCTCATTCACGGCACGACACATATAAGTGCCCGAGTCTTCGGGATAGGCGTAGAGGACGTCGAGCGCAACGAAACCAAAATCGTGCAGTGATTTGAAACGGTGTCCGGTTTGGAGGGGAACGCCGTTCACTAACCACTCGACTCTCATCGTCGGGTCGTCGGCGGGGGTGAGAGTGGCCTCCAAATGGAAGGGTTCGCCTTCTTTCAGGTTCTCGTAATTGCGTAAAGAGTTTCCAAACTCTGGTTTATCGACGAAAATGGTGTCGTCGTCCTGGCGTTTGACCCGTCGGGGCGTTTCGAGGGCTCGTATTTTGCTGAGACTACTCGGTTGTATTGAGTCCAATAGTACACTACCCCTGTCCACGACTTTGAGCGTCACTTTGGATGTGTTAAAACCCAAATGATTGGTTGCTTTAATCTCATAATCGCCAGAATCTTCGGGTATGAGAGCCATAACGTCGAGCGCAGCGAATCCAAAGTCAAATAGAGTTCGGTATCTGTTGCCGATCTGTAGGGGATGTCCATTGAGAAGCCACTCGACGGTCATTGTCTCGTCTGGGAAGGGCTCGATTCGGCACTCGAAGTGAGCGCTCTTTCCCTCCTCTCCAACGTTAGGGCCTTTGAGTTCTGTCACGAAATAGGGTTTCCTATCGGATGTCGTTTCTGTGATCTCTTCTTTTCGGTAGAAATTCCTTCCCTCCAGACATGAGATCTTTTGGACGGAATCGGGGAAAGAGGTGTCGCTTACGATGGACTTCGTGTCCTCGACGTGAAGAGTGGCCGAACAGACGGCTCCACCGAATCGGTTGCTGGCTTTGCAGGTGAAGGTCCCGCTGTCGGAGGGCTTCACGTACTTGAAGTCGAGGGCGACGTAACCGAAGTCGTTGATTGTGGACATACGGGAGCCGAGCATTAGTGGCGACCCGTTGTGGAACCACTCGACACACATATCGGAGTCGCCGACAGGAATCAAACGCGTCTCGAAGTGTGCGCTTTGGTTCTCAATGAGTCGCAAGTTTCTCATCGGTTGCGTAAACACCGGCGCCTCTGATATCGCTTCCTCTTCTTCGACCACTCGCTCTCTCTTACGCTCGAGTCGTCTAATGCTGGAGAGACTGCCCTCTAATTGAGAGGTTGTGATGAGACTAGAAGTGGGCCGACACTTGAGGAACGCCTGAGTGGTCGCCTCTCCGTAATCATTGACGGCTCTTATGGTATACCTTCCGCTGTCTTCCGCATACGCGTGTCGTATATCGAGTGCCACAAAACCAAAGTCAAAAATCTCGACAAATCTCGAGCCCTGGAGTAATGGTTCGCCATTTTTAAACCACTCGACCTTAAGGGTCGGGTCACCGATGGGTGTCAATTGGCACTCAAAGTGGACGCCATCTCCTTCTGTCACATCTCTATTCTTGGGCGCTGTCGTGAAGACCGGCGCCTGTTTTGTCATGTCGTCGACGTATGAATCTCTGGTATAATATCCGCGTTCTTCCAAATGCTTAGTCTTGGCGTAAGTGTCGGGGAATTGTGACTCCCTATCGATGGAAGCCCTTCCGTGGCATATAATAGTGGCCGACAACTCATCGCTTCCAGACTTATTGGTGATCCGACACGTATAGACTCCGGAGTCCTCTTCAATGATTTGTAGAATTTTGAGCGCAATATAACCGAAATCATAAAACGGTTGAAATCTATGGCCTATTGAACGCGATTTCAATAATAAATTAGTTATTTTGAAAAATAATTTCAATATTAATAAGTTGTTATTCAATACTAGTTTACAGAACCCAATCGCGTGCCCCCTAACCCCCACTTTATACCCTTACCTAACCAAACATAATATAACTATAAATTAACGTTAAACCCGTTGGTGAGGCGATACATACTGTAGTTGCAATTTAATAATGTTTAAATTGCAAATTAAACCCTTGCGAGCGCTTTCAATATTCAATTTTTTACTTTTAAAAAAACTAAATTAAATTGAGTTTATTATCGTGTTGGGGCGAGCTAATTTGCATATTTAATTACTATACCATGTTCACACACAAAAATGAAATATTATATGAACTAACCGACTGGAAGTGGATTCCCGTTATAAAACCACTCGACCGTAAGGTTGGGGTCATTGACGGGTTCGATGCGGCACTCAATGTGTGCCGATTGAAACTCCTGGAGCTCTAGATTACGGAATTTTGTCAAAAACTTTGGTTTTGTTCTTTGGATCTCATCGTCTATTTCAGTCACATCTTTGCGTGTTTTTCGTTTCGTTTCCTCCAAATGCCGGGCATTCATAAAACTGTCCGACATTTCCGTCTCATAGATCACTCGTTGACTCTTTCCGTGGCATAAGAGCTGACACGAGGAGACGGTTTCGCCGAATATATTCCTGGCTTTACAGGTGTAGAGACCGCTGTCTTCGGGATAAACGCAGTGAATGTCTAATGCGATGAAATCAAAGTCAAATTGGGGTCTAAATCGATGCCCAACTGTAATCGGTTGACCGTTTTTGAACCATTCAATTGTGGTCTCGATATCGCCGGTCGACGGCTCGAGACGGCACTCGAGGTGAACGTTCGCCTCTTCTGTAGTCTCGATATTACGCAATGTTTTGGCAAAAACGGGTGGTTTTCCGGCAATGGATTCGGTGTCGATCTCTCTCTTATAGTTACGGCGATCCTCTAAGCGTTGGATTTCGACCAAACTCTCGGAATATTCTGAGTCTCGAACAACACTGGACTGCGAGACAACGGTAATTGAGTTACTGGTCTGAGCGCTTCCCAACCGATTGGTCGCCCGAACCGTGTATTCGCCCG